CTTACGGCCCCGCGGGCATCCTGTCACTCAGACCGCTAGCGATGTCGTCCTGATTCTGGGCCAAGGCGACCAAATGCAAGGGTTCAAAGTCTCTTCTGAAGCCATGGCACGAGCTTCGCAGCCGTTTGAAGCCATGCTTTTCAAGGGTTACAAGGAGGGGAGGCCTTCAGATGGCTCCCAGTGGGTTATTCACCTGCCCGAGGATGACCCTGAAGCCTTCGACATCATTGCCAATATCATCCATGGAAACGTCCACAAGCTGCCTCGCGGGATGTCCATACATATCTTTTACAAGACATGTATTCTGGCAGAGAAATACCTCATGTTGCACGTCTTGCGCAATCACGTTCGGCAGTGGTATGACAAGATGTGGTGGTGTGTCTATCGGCGAAACGGACAGATTGACCCGGATGAAATACAGCAGCATACCTCAATCGCTTGCTTGTTGGGAAATCACAAGTCTTTATGGGCAGCTATCACATATTACGCTTATGCCTGTCGTGTTGTCGACGATGAGCTTATACACTGGCGCAAGGATCCACTTCTGTCCGGCAGTGAGACACAGTCTGAGGTCGGTGAGATAACCGAGTATAGTAAGCTCTTGGCTGAAGAGGTACCATTCCTCCCGGAGTTTTGTTTCGGTATGCGATATACTGCGGTCCCTTGACTTACCTCAGCATAGGGCTAACGGCTAGGCACAGATATAATACAAGCATTGCGCCTCGAGTTGCTCGAGAAAATCATGGGAACAAAGGAGTACTTGGGCTGGCTCGGCTCAGTCTTCTGCTTTGGGGGAGGCGAACACAGTCCGGCCTGCAAGCTCGATGACATCTCGGAGACCGACTGTGAGAGGATTGTCTTCGCCCAGATCAGAACTGTCATGGATGAGTATGGCCTTACAGAAAAGGCCCCTTTCTTGCTGTCAGGGGACTGGGCCGCAAGTGTCAACGAGCTCGTCGAGTGCATATATGCTATCCCAGAACGATATTGCATCAGAGAAATCGCAGGACGTTACTGCGAACCTTTTCCCCTGTTTCGAAAAGAGCGAGCCGCATCGGGACTACCATAGTACTGGAATGTATACTATCGGACGTTCGAAGCAACGCTCAACGAGGGGGTTTACATACGACCTAAATCGCGCGTCGTGGACCAGTATAAGGCTAAGCTTGAGCGCCATATGGAACTGCGAGCAAAGAGGTGGGTGCTCAGGTGACCAAAAGAATCAGCTTGATTCTCGAACAAGCAGTTGACACTTTCAAGCTTTGGCTCGGCCACGAGGATTGGCAAGCTATGCATCGCCCGCACAGCACTGAAAGCATGTGAAGAGCGAAATAATTGAATTGAAATAGTTTTTGGTAGAAACAAATCCCATCAGCGTCCGTTTTTCTCTTCTGACATTCCCAAGGCCTAGCCCTTCAGTCACGCTGCAGGCCCCCAATACTTTTCTTTTGGTCTTTCCCTTCGCAACTGTCTGTTCTGCATCGCCTTATTTACATCCATCAAGTGTTCATCTTAGTACGTCGACGACAATATAGACCTCTCAAATGCCCTGGCAATATGGTCTTCGTCTTCAGGAGTTGTTTGTCCTCAACAGAGGCATTTCACAAAATCAGCCCCGAGTGGGTATTGATTATTACCCTCTGCTAAGTGGAACAGACACGCTTTGCTACTGATGCACTCCATCGTAATTTGCTTGTCATTTTCGAAAATGGACTGGAAATGCTCATCCTCATCGCCGTTGGCCTTTACTCTGCGTCTCGTCTCCTTGAGTGGTGGTTGTTCTGTGTTGAAGTGTTGCGGGTTTGGGTTATGCACCCTGGGGCATGAATATGTTCCAATTAATACTAATTACGTCAGCTACCACATGCCAATGCGTCAATAACTACGCTGCTGACTTCCTTCAGGAGCTTGACCACATCGACCTGATCTGACTTGATATCAAACCGCCATGGCTCAGTCGACTTTCTCTCTCACGACACACCTCCTTGGTGTCGACACCCTTACCTACAAGGCGGCAACAGAGACCCCTTTCCTCGCGGCCGCAGGCGAAGGGCGCCTCAGCAAGGAGGCGTTAGGAACATGGCTCGCCAATGACCGTCTCTACATCCATGCCTATATCAAAGCAGTAGGCAGGGCCCTCTCCATCATAGACCTGCCGCAGACCACTCCCGAGGCTGCCACAGAGGCCGCCCCCGAGACGCAGTTCGTCGACTGGCTCTTCGCGAGCCTCACAGCCCTGCGTAGGGAGGAGCGTCTCTTCATCGACGTCGCGCGGAATTACGGCCTAGCCATCGACCTTGAGACGATGACCACGACAGAGGGCGGCAGGGACGTCCAGCGTGTCCCCGGCACGGCGAAACTGCCCGGTCTGGTCATGTTCGAGAAGCTGTTCGGCTCGTTGCACCCTGCTGCGAGCGTCGACAGGAACCGACCCCTGCCATGGCTGGAGGCGGCTGTTGTTTTCTGGGGCACGGAGAAGGTCTACTCTGACGCCTGGGCGTGGGCCAAGACGAAGCAGAGTGGCGCAGCCGGGGACGACGCAGACGGTGGTGCTCTAAGGAGGGAGTTTATTCCGAACTGGAGCAATTCCGAGTTCACTGCTTTTGTGGACCAGCTTGGGGGTATCATCGATCGAGCTGTTGAGCAGACACTAGGGGCCCTGGGAGGTAATGTGAAGGCTTCGCTAATCGAGAGAACAGAGAAGGTTTGGAAGGAGGTGATTGCTGCTGAGAAGGCGTTCTGGCCGGAGGCTCGGTGAACTCGGCCGAGGCAGAGTGTTGTACAACCCGAGGTCTGAAGATTATTATGTAGCGGCCCCGGCCGGAAGCCCGCAATGTTATTCATACTTCCGGAGCGCGCTATTTGCTGTCTACAATACGCATGCTGCGTGCGACGTTCTTGGAGAACCCGGCGTATGGCGGCATGAACAGTTTACTTGATTTTACCATGACTACTACACTGTCAGATTATTTCGACCGGTCGGGCGGTCGAACGACGGTGTAAGTCAAGTTTTTCCCCAGTCCCACGACATACCTCGGTATCTCAGTGTTTGATTTATAAGGGTGGATACGTATCCTTGTAATAGTGACTTCACCACATTCCGTTGTCTACCGAGTTCCATGAGTCGGTCCTCGGTTGAGTATCTCCTATAAAGCGACGACATCCCCAACGGACACTTATATGCATTGACAAAAAGATATTCTTTGGCAATATTCCGGATTAAGCTTAATAGTCGTTCCCGCTAGTTTACAAGATGGCTCCCGCCCGTTTTCCTACCGAAGATGTCGATCCCTCCCCGTTGGGCCAGCCCCTGAAATTCGAGTTCAGCGGGATCACGGCCAGAAACCGCTTCATGAAGGCCGCCATGACAGAGCGAGAATCATCATGGGACCCAAAGAATCTCGAGACGCGTGGAGTCCCATCGCCAGAACTCATCAACATTTACCGACGATGGGGCGAGGGCGGATTCGGACTCATCCTGACCGGAAATGTCATGTTCGAGTATGACCACCTCGAGGCCGCCGGCAACCCCATCATCCCGATCGGCGAGCCCGCCGAGGGCAAGAGGTTCGAGGCCTTCAGGGAGCTCGCAACCGTGGCAAAGAAGCATGGCAGCCTCATCGTGGCCCAGCTGGGCCACCCGGGTCGTCAGGTTTCCGACAAGGTCCAGCCACATCCCATCTCGGCGAGCGATGTCCAGCTGGAGGGCACCGTCATGGGTATGACCTTTGCGAAGCCCCGTGCGATGGAGAAGAAGGACATCGAGCGCGTCATTGAGGGATTTGCCCACGCTGCCGAGTACGCCCACAAGGCCGGTTTCGACGGCGTCCAGCTGCACGGCGCTCACGGCTACCTCCTGGCCCAGTTCCTCGCGCCGTCCACCAACAAGCGCACGGATGAGTATGGCGGCTCGGTTTTGAACCGGGCACGAATCATCCTGGAGGTGGCAGACGCGATCAAGGCCCGGGTCAAGGACAAGTCATTCGTTCTCGGCATCAAGATCAACAGCGTGGAGTTCCAGAGCGGCGGCTTCAGTTCCGAGGACTGCGCTACCATCTGCGAGGAGCTCGAGAAGCACGGCTTCGACTTTGTTGAGCTCTCTGGTGGTACCTATGAGAAGTCGGCCGCCCAGCCGCCCCAGAGGGAGTCTACGAAGATACGCGAGGGCTTCTTCCTCGAGTTCGCTGAGATGATCGCCCCCAGGCTGAAGAAGACCAAGGTGTATATCGTTGGAGGTCTGAGGACTGTGGGCGCCATGGTAGGCGCTCTGAAGAGTGTCGATGGTATCTCATTAGGAAGACCAGCTGCTCATGAATTCGATCTGCCAAAGAAAATACTGGAGGGTAAGGCCAGGAGTTCGATCCAGTACAAGCTCAATGATCAGGACTTTGGTGTCACCAACATGGCTGCTGGAGCCCAGTAAGTCTTCCATATTCCGTTCATGCTCTTTATACTCGGAAAGATTACCAGAGTGTCCAAGATCTTACTAACAACCGGACAGGATCAAGCTCGTGGGCCGGGACAAAGAACCATTGGATATGAGCCAGGAGAAGTACAGCAATATCTATCTGCAATCCCTAGAGAAGGGGCTTAAGTCGCTGGCAGATAACAAGGATGGTTCCAAATACGGTTTCATCGATATCGAAGGGGTGGAGCTGCAGCCATACGGTACGGCGTATCCGGCATGAATTGTTTGCGTTCGTACCCGGGTATATAAAGAAACGGACTGCACTAGAGGCCAAGAGAGTATATAGGCACTTGCTAAATATAAGCACATATGACTACAAAGTAATAGCATCGTATAGAAGGGTTCAGGGATTTCAAACAGCCCTCTCTCCCTAGTCAACCCCTAAAACTCCGAATTCTGGTATAAAAGCAGACCGAGCAGCCACAACGCCGCAATAGTATCTATTGATTTACCTGATAGATCAAGTAAATAAATGAATGAATCCTTAGTAAGGAAAAAAAGACTATTGAACAATAAAACAGCAAAAAAGCAACTCTCCCGCCGGGAATTGAACCCGGGTCCCGAGCGTTGTTAATCCCACTTTTTAGAGTGGAGAAATTGACAAGCTCATATACTGACCACTATACTACGGAAGACGTATCTTGTTCAACTCGGTTTGAAACTGAGTGTAGCTTGGTCGCTGGTTGTTGTGGTTGGTGTCGGTTGAGGCATTTATATAGCTGTATCAAATCTTTTTTCCGTAGTGTTGTCGATCTCTGCATGTTTGGAGCTAGCGTGGGACTAATTAGTGTGTACATAGGTACATAGGTAGTTTGGGAAAAGATGGCGGGCGCCTATAACGTCTTTATTAATGCTATGTATGTTTCTTCCTTGTATTTGAAATACTATAATCTCTTTCTTGATAAATGAAACATGAAGCATGCGAACAGAAACCCCAGGTCCAGATGTCGTTTCCAAGAGGAAGGTAGACTTGAAACGCAGGGAGAAGATCGAACACCGAGAGCCAAGACCCCTCCTGAACCGGACAATTATACCGACCCTAGGGTACCTATGTATGCTATTCTTTCCGTAACCAAAATATTGATATGGGAATGTTTGGATCGACATCTTCGAGTACTTTAACTAATCGAAGCCATATCATAGTGTTTGGCTGATTGAAGGACTTCTGCGGTTCGGGGACATTTGACCCCTTGATAAACGGTTGGGGTATGTATTTTCAAATTGTTGCCTCCTCCTGCAACGGGATTCTCAGCTCACATCTTACCAGTCCGGTACTCATCTCTATGTACTATGTTAATTCAACTTGTGGTGGCTGAAGAAGACCTGTAACACTTCCTCTATTGTCGAAATACAGACGGTGGTAAATACCCTGGACATGAACAGTCTGTATTGAAGAACCGGTAGGCCATGGTTGCTCTGGGATTTCTTGAGGACGAAAGTGTCCTGGACTAGGACAAGTCGACAAGTCCCAAAGATTGCTCTGTGTTCTGAGGAATCTTCAGATCCCATTTGTGCTTTCTGTCTGTACCCTTATTCTTCCCCAAGTGGAGTAAGTCGGGATTCCGTGGGCCAGGTCTTTACACCTTTTCCCCTCATGCCCCAGTGAAACGACAGAGAAGCCACTCCGGCCGAGGTTGTGGTCGATGCGGTGTTGGTCTTTCAGGACGTTGCCGGTTCAGATGAAATATTGGTAGCCGATCCTTTAGTTTTCACAGCCCTCAGGCATCTTCATATCTTCAATGTTTCGGCCAGGCCAGTATAATTGATGATGGAACTTTGCTCTAGGATTGCCCTCAAGGCCGACAAGTACAGGAGGCTCTCGCGTCAGCAGGACTTAAGAACTATTGAATCATTGTACCAGCCAACTAAAAAGGGTGATCACCCTAGTAGAACTGGGAATTCATTTGGTCTATAGCTAGCCTTCCAACACAAACGCAATCTATGACTTTATCTATGTCAGCCACAGCTTTGCTCTCTTCATACTCAGCTCGAACCGACCTGTCCTGCAATGCTCCGATATACACGAGAGTAGGGTGTAGGATGATTTGTAACACCCCATACGAGTAGGCACACCACCTGACCAGTGTTCAGGCAGCCACCGTAGCCCTTGTATATTTACTTTGCTTATAAAGATATGTTCTCAGTGTAAGCTGCTCCATTTACTGACTCAAATTACCCTTGTCAATCCCGGACCGACCTTCACAATTCGACTGGCGGCCATGCTGACACTCGAAGCAACAAGCAGCACACCGCACCACACAATGAGGCCAACCCAGTTCTGATCTTCCCCGAGGATAGCGCCGGCGATGGGACTGCTGACGAGAACGCCGATTCCGACGAGCAACAGCGTCATGCCGAGCCGTGTCCCAATCTTGCTCTTGTCGGCCGAGAGGCTGACAACACCCGCGGCAGGGAGCCCCATGAAAGCGCCAGCCGCAAAGCCGTAAAGTACACTGAATACTATAAGTCCCGGTGTATCTCGGATGGCGAGCAAGCAGAACGTCAGGATAGCGCTCATCAGAGCAACACTGGTCTGTACGTTGATGGAGCCGATCCTATCAGCGTAGTAGCCAGGGATCAGACGGCCAAATAGCGAGCTTCCGTTGATAATGACCAGCAGGTAATCGGCCAGGGTAGATGAAACAGTCGTGCGGGCCAGGGCGAGAAGCTGTATATAGTAAAAGACAACATATAGCCCCATGAAACCGAAGAAGAGCCCGAGGTTCAGCAGCAGATAGGGCGCGTCACGGAAGGCGGTACGGTCGACCAGGCCCTGCATTGGACGTGGGGGTGCGCGTGACCTCATCACGAGCATCGGGACTAGCGAGGTGGCGAGCAGGATGAATCCCAGGACGCGGACAGTCCAGGGGAACCCGATGCGCGGCTGGAGCTGGTCGAAGACTATGGGGTAAATGACGCCTCCTGAATATTGCAGTCAGAGACGGTGGCACCTTACTCCGTCAATCAAACCTTGAAGCACTTACCGAGAGCACTGCCAGCAGACGAGGCGCCGATGGCCAGAGCAGTACTCTTGTGGAAATACTGGGAGACCACGGCGGGCGCGGGTAGGTAAAGACACCCAAACCCGAGCCCCATCACTGTAGCATCTGGTTTCAGCTTCCGTCCAAGCAAGGCAAGACAATCTGGTGACAAAAGGTAGGAATGGACATAGAAGTACTTGCGAAAGGAAAATGGAGAGCTTTTGGAAGTGGCTTACTGAGGGCCTGGGTTATGAAGACCTGCCAGTACTGGTGGGTGATGCTAACGAGAAACATGCCAACGACGAGCAACCCCGAACCAACCCAGAGCAGAGATCGCAGATGGCCCGCGTCGAAAAGGGGGCGAGCGACCATGGACACCAGGAATAGTAGGAAGGCCTGCGTGGATCCGATCCAGGCGATGTCAGACGATGTCTGCGCGTGCAGGAGGTGAAGTTGATAGAAGGTCTGGAAGGCGCCATATGCGTTCATCATGCCCCTGGCTTGGTGTTAGTTTCCCGGGTTCTGACCAATGGACCACTGAATCTCCTTGGTTGACAAGGTTTAGGGCTTACTTACCAGGTGTTCAGGTTCAGGACGAAGGCTCCAAGCACCTGCAGCCAAGCGTTGAGGCCCTCCTCTTTTTCCATTGCGTCGACACTACTATCGATGGAGGCCGGGATGCCGTGGGAATCGTTCTGCGGTGCACTGCTGTTGCTGGTGCCTTTCTCATCCCAGCCGCCTCCATGATGTTAATCATACCCAAGATGACCAACAGGGAACGAGCTGACTGGTTTATACTTCGTGGCTGGAATGGAGGAGGTGTGATGGCCTATACTGTTGAAAGATAACAAGTCAAGCTGGATTTCATTAGAGTGGGAAAAGCTTGTTGGAGGAGGGGGTTGGTTTTAGTGTCGCAGAAACAATCCGTGTTCGTTGGCTTGCACTGGCAACCAACAGTTCGGGCTCGTACATCCGTGGGTACAGTAGATCCTTATCCAGTATGTACGCAACAGGAAGCAAACAATGTTAGAGGTCCCTTGTCGGGTACCAATGACTCTGTGATCCATGCACAAGAAGTCCAGTTGGGCCGATCATTTCCCACATGTGCAAGGACGGAGAGGTTCAAGCGGCAGCAAAAAGCCGGGATCTAATTGTCATCTTGAGTAAAGTCACTGTTGTAATTAGCGAGGCCACGCTCTTTGCTTAGGACCACTTGCGCTATGACCTGTCCTCCGTTCTTCTTACGAGCAGCATGAGTAGCAGCCTTGAGATACCCGGCACTCCAGTTTAGCTGCAAATTTAGATATACTATAGAATCTATCTCATACTTATCTTTCCTATATTCCAGATTGCACACTTATTTCTCTCTCCCTACACGTACCTCTATCTGCGGTCTTATCAGTGTTCACTGAATACCCTAGGGTACCTTCCGTATCATACCTACATAGGTACTTCAAGTGTACTATGTAGGTATCCGTTGACCGCGTCTCCGCATCTATAGGAACTAGCATACCTTGAACCTTCCCTTGCATTTCCTTATGAAAAATTGTTTCGTTGGCTTTTCCGACTAGGTCTACGGTTGAAGATGATATATTGAATGGCGTTGTCTGGCACTGGGGCCAGTCGTTGCCGCGGTCCAACACTCTGGCTCACAGCCACACTCCCGTCGGTCACTACATAGTGCAAGTTGGCTGAGTTCGCAGGCTGAAAACTCAGCGGAGTTCTTCAAATCAAGTATTAATTATGCCTAGTTGTAGCTAGCGGGCACTCCAGGCTTATGATTTGAAAATCGCTGGAGGGGGGCCAGCTGGCGTCCCATTCCATCCACAATATGAAACGGAATAATATGCACTTCTAGAAGAAGACGGCGAATGGCAAGGATGGAGACAACAGGAGATCTGCAAAATACATATTCTTAGGCGTGCCAAAACGGAATGGTTCCTCTTACAAACTAGGCAAGGACAGAGGTGCATAAATATGTATAAGTATTTCATGATGAGAAACACAGCTGACAGGTATGTGCAGGTGGCTTTCGATCCAACCTCGAATAGGAAATGAAGGGCTGCGGAAGCCTTGTCTGAAAAGCTTCTGCCTATCTAATTATAACATTGTATGCTCGTGTTACATGGGCCTAATTATTGCCAAGCCTCATGTGGCTGCTGACAACAGCCCTGGAGCTGCGTTCACCCTCTGCGATGCCCAAGCGGATGATGAAGTAGCCAAGGTTCTCTCACGATTGCGAAGATGTACGACCTCAGTCCAAACTGATAGAAATGGCCAATGTTTGGTCATTATATATATATGCTGGGTGCTGTTCCGTTTTGGAGCGTATTCTGACCTTCCCCCCAGCGAATTATCAGCATCTCGCTTTTTCACCACAGTCAACCTAATCCATTCCAGACACCAGAATATGAAACTCAAGATGAAGCCTCTGGCAGTCTTCACATGGCTGTTAGTCTTTGTGTCTGCCACACCCGCCCCTCAGCTAGAAAACAAACGTCAATCCGGAGCTACATCCTTTTGGTATGCTAACATGGACCACACTGGATCGGCTCGAGGCTACGCTCCGGATCTAGATGAAGACTACACTTACCCGGTCTTTAAAGCCGTGGATTCTGGCAACGCAGATGCTCTTCAAGGTGCCATCAATGACG